AAAAAAAAAAAAAAAGAGAGAAATCTTTGCCAATAGTCATTTTTTAATTTGCATTTTATTAATAAACTTATTATTTTCTTTTTCTTCTGGTTCTGGGGAACTCAGGGCCACTCCACCACTGAGCCACATCCCCAGGCCTATTTTGTATTTTATTTAGAGACAGAGTCTCACTGAGTTGCTTAGTGCCTTACTCTTGCTGGCTTTGAAATCGYGATCCTTCTGCCTCAGCTTCTGGAATTACAGGCATGCGCCACCACATCTGGCTCTAGGAACTTATTATTTTCATTTCAAGCTTATATCTAAACCCTCTACTACCTCATCCCATTCCTCTCCTAACTACCTGTCTTCCAGCCACAGTAATTTCCTTGCTGTATCCTGAAAGCCTCAAGCACATTCACAAACTGGGGTCTCTGAGTCAGCTATTCCTCTTTCCAGAACACTTCTTACCTTAATAGAGGCCTCCCTGACTGTCCCATGTAAAAAACCACCTCAACTTAGACCCTCTTTTTCTTCTTCAGCCAACTTTTCTTTAGAGCATATACCCCTACTTATAATTTTAATACTTATTTTCTTGTCTGTATCCTTCCATTAGAATAAGAATTCCATGAAGACTAGAATTTGTCTTAGTATTACATACCTATAGTACCTAAAACAGTGCTGAGTACATAGTAGGTGCTCAAATGTCTGTTGAATAAAGATGGAAAGATCACAGGGGTCAGAAGCAACCATATAGATAAAGATGAAGTGACTATCTACACTGTATGATTTGGGAGTGCTAACAGATCCAACTACTCCAAATGAACGGCTGTTGACACTTCATATATAGTAAACTCTCTATATAATATAATATCTCTATATAATAGTATCTTCCATGTTTGAGCTCATTTAATCCATATAATCCTATGTGTTAGATACTACTATCTCCCTTTTTGGGGGAAACTGAAACAATGAGAGGTTACAGTTAGTAAGTAGTTTCCATTAATATAAATGTCTCCTGGGAAAAGTAACAATAATATGGAATTATGTATCAGATGTCTAACAAGAGAAGGACCCTGAGGGAATGAGGCATAACACATATTTAATGGCAATGGGTGGAGAGGTAAAGCAAATAAAAGGGGGAAAGTTCCAAAGTCAGGATCACCTACTTCACAATTTTACCCTAACTGTGGTTAAACTATTACTGTAACTTTTAGGGTACAGAGTAGTGAAAAATAAACCCATCCTGAGGAATAAGGGTAATTTTAGAACATAGGTAGACTTCAGGGAACTTAAAAAACAGAACTGTATTTCAGATGGCAAACAGAGTTCAGTGTTTTATGATTTGGTTACTTAGAAAATTTGACACAAAATTAGAGAACTATGCTACTCACTAACTGAACTATATACTTTCAAAATTAATTCAACTACATTAACTCTTTACAACTAGTAAACAGAACAAATCAAGTGAAGAACTGCTTCAATATAGATCAGAAAGTCTAAAGATTCATTAATGRTATATGCAGGAACACCCTATAAATTTTAAGCAGGTTTGGAATAAAAAAGATAACCATGTATCAAATTTTATCAGGAACACAAGAACATAAAAAAGATTAAATTAAATCTGTCTCATGATGTATTTTGCCATACTAATGACAAATTAGCACACAACATTTAGTACATGAAGGGTGTATAGGCTAATCATCAGCTATTGGCAACAACAACTATGATCAGTAACCCTTGAAAGCAAGGATCTAACAATATATAGAAAGTTAAAGTTTAAATGGCTTATATTTCAGACTAAATCAACACAACAATTCTTTGTTACTTTTCATCAAAGTGACTTTTTTAAAAAAAATGTATTTGGGCTGTGGCTATGGCTCATTGGTAGAGCGCTCACCTGGCACGTGGGAGGAACTAGGTTTGATCCTCAGCATCACATAAAAAAAAAAAAAATTAAATAAAGGTATTGTAGGTGGCTACAACTAAAAAAATACATTAAAAAAAGAATGTATTTAACTTGCTTGTGAAAGTTTTATTGGAGTGGGCAGGCAAAGTCACTACAGTTACTCTGATATCATTTAAATGAAACAGATAACAAAGTAAAGTTTCAGACTGAAATACTACAATACTAATGTTTCAAACCAGAGATAGCAGTGTTTCAAAACAGGATAACAGAGAAATTCTCCAATTTCATCTAGAACCTAGGTCCAGGTTCAAACTTCACCCTATGCCAGGTGAGTGACCTTGGCTACTTTCTTAAAACTTTGAGACTCTATGTCCTCATCAATAAAATGTCTTGTTTTAGCTATGGTGAAGATTATAGATAATCTTTCTGAGGCACTTAGTATGATGCCTGGCAATCAAGGAACAATAACTATTAAAACTCTTTTGATGAAACAGTCAAAAAATAAGAATGGGGCAGAATGTCTTAATAGGTTATCCACAAACATTCTAAAAGTGAACAATCAACCTACAATATTATCTTTTTAGATGTGGAAGTAAAGCTAAATGTTTTTCTAAGGGATCATCTGTGAAATATAATTTCATCTAATACATAAATATATCTTTTTGTGGTGCTGGGGATTAACTCATGTATGCTAGACAAGTGCTATACTCCCAGTCCCTTCCTTCAATTTTTTTTGAACTAGAATCCCTGTAAAAATGTCACAGAGATTTACAACTTTCACAAATCATTAATTTGTAACCAAACATTTCTCACCTATACCAAAAATACTTGTTACAGCTTCTATGTGAGATTTATCTTTGCAAGTTATGTTGAACATTCTCTTCCCAGTCTTTCTAGTTATCYTGTAAAATGTTGATAGAAAATTATTCTATAGGGGATATCRGTCAATGGTAGAGTACTTGCCTAGCATAGGTAAGACCCTGGCTTCAATCCTCAGTATCATATATAAACATAAACACAAAATTATTCTTTGGAAGGTAGACAGGTCATTCTAATTAAATAATGTTTCTGATTAACACCAAACATATATGTCTTGGCAGTGATGAKTAATAAAATATCTGATCAATTACCTATTCCAAGATACTACATTTTCAATTAAATTGTACCTGCCTCTTTTTCTAGAGAATTATATTAATTAAATGGCCCTCTGGTCCAATCTTCACTGTATTAGACAAGACTTATATACATTACTATTTAGAATGCCTTAAAAGATCTTTTCTTTGTAGYTTAATATTTATAAACCTCAATAAATCAGATGTTCAGGAAAAGATCCCTTCACTTTTTCCCCCATTGGTATAAAAAAAAATAAAAGCATGTATGTTTTGAACTAACCATTAAGACTAGTTCCAGATAATACTTATCTAGAACTTTTATCATTGCACACATTTAAAAATTAAATATTAACAAAATGCCTTTTTTTTTTTAAAGCAGTGCTAGGGCCTAGGCCTAACTAACCCCATGGGCCTGACACATGCTAGGCAAGTATTCTATCACTGAGCTACACCTCCAGCCCAACAACAAAGTGCCTTTGTAAGACAAAAGATAATGATCAATCTCTATAGATCAAAATTGTCAGTCTTACCTTTTGGATCATTATGAGTCAATAACTGTATGTCAAACTGTTTAGCAAATGCAGTTAAATCAGGTGGCATCACGCAGCAAGAAGCAAGATTTACTTGGTTACTATTTGGTTTTACCTAAAAGTGAAAATAAAATCATTTCTTTACTAAATAAAATAATACAGAAAGTAGAACACAATAAGCAATAAAGGGGGCTGGGGTTGTGGCTTATTGGTAGAGCACTCGCCTAACAATATGCGAGGCCCTGGGTTCAATTCTTAGCACCACATAAAAATAAATCAATAAAATAAAGGTATTTAAAAAAATTAGCAATAAAAGGGTTTAGTTATAGAGTATAGGGAAAATCACATTTTACAGTGCTTAAAGTTTGTAAAATACTTTTACATGAATATCCTTATTTATAWGTGCTTTTCCAAACCATGTCAGTGATAATAGGGAAAGGAAAAATAACTCTAGGAGGAAAAATCCAAAATAGAACTACACTATTAAAAAATCTCTGCTAGAATCATTTAGTAATGTGATACATCTGCTTCGGAGACAAACATGATTTTAAGTTTGTCTCAGCAACAGAAAAAATATGTCTTAAAGGTAGAGAATCAAATACAAGTAAATACATTTAATGTCAAAATATAAAATGTGGCTATTAATCAGCACATTTTGAAAGAGAAGAATTAGATAACTTCCAATAACTTCCCTGATTAACTTCTATACAGATTCTGGATCATCCAAGTCTCTCCAGAAGGTTCTTGACCATGTCTAGCTACTAAATCTAAAGGAGAAGGTACAATAATTTATCCAGGGTTTTTCTGCCCACAAGAAACTGAAAGTTCTGAAAGAAGGCTGAATATTTAAATAGAGAATAAAAGGAATAGAGAAAATTATAAAAGAGTAAAAGGTAAAACATTAGTAACTTCCCTCATAATTTTGCAGGTAATTAGATGAAAGAGTAGGGATGATTAATTATTGACATATCAAGCTGTATAAACAGAGTCCTATACATCTTTAAGTAATAGTCAGCAAAATATTTGTTACATATAATATTCCCTTACTTAGGAAATTAAAGAAAAATGTAACATTTTCATCACTTATGTAAAACTGAAAGAAACAGCATAATCAGCTTGCAATTAAAGCTTCAACACACATTTTCTAGTGTTTCTACCACTCATTTTAAAAGGAATATTTAGTTCAAGTTGACATATATTCTAAAAACCCCCAAACCCTCAAGGCTTTAGATAAAGCCTGCCTCGAAGCTCCCATACKTGGAGTAGGTACCATTTAGTAAGTGTGCATTATGTGCATTATGCTTAAAAGTAAGCAGCAAAGGCTAGAAACAGTAGATTCCTCCCCAGAGTGCACAAGATCTGGCCATCCTTTACCTGTGCCCACTGATAGAGCTGCTCCAACTGTGTTTTATCTAGATCTGAGGTACCTATAGCAACAATCTTCTTGCTTTGAACTAAGTTTTCTAATTCCTCCCAATAAGGCTGTAAATGTTCCAAGGAAAGATTAACTCCATCTTCAATAGGAGGTGACGCAATGATCACAGAATCCAGTTGTGCAACTCCAAGGACTGAACAGGCTGATGGGAAGAAAAACACAAAAAGGATCAATGTCTGCTACATAATAAAAACAAGAATTATTAATGTGCTCAAAGTATCTACTGAATTCTATTCATATCATTCACTAATTTTCCATATAACAGATTATTTCAGTTTACCTGTCATTTAGAATATTTCCATCTTCTGTATGCCGTCTCTTTGTGGCATACCAGTGGGTTTCTCTGACCTGCTTTCTTTCTAGGGAGCTCAAAGCTACTATAGGCTCCTCTTTCTGGAGAACAGGCTTCCCTTTTGTTTTTTAGGCCCCATGACTTTTTGGTGGTTTCCTTATCTTCATACAATTTTCTTCTCTAGTTCTACCTRTTTACTAGTATCTCATATGGATGATCATAAGAATTATGACCTTATTCTGTGACTAGCAGTCATAGCAAGAATCAGCCTGAAACTGAAAACTAAGAGGTAGATAATTTCTTAATTTATATAAAAAGAACTTAAGAGCTTATTTTAAATGACTATATTCACTCTACACTTATATGAAAAGGCCAATTATTTAACTTTGCAACATATATAAATGCTGAAAGAATGCTTTTAAAGTATTTAATAACTGTAATACTATAATCATTTAACCAAGTGCCAAAAATAGACATAAGATACTTATTTTTAGTTGTTGTCTTTGATTTTAATATTTTATTTATAGTATAAAAGAGCTAATAACATGATTAAGGAGAACTTCTATACCTAAGCAACATTTATTAGTCAACATTTAATAATCAATAGTCAATAATTAGCTAATTAAGTCAGAATTAGCTATATCTTTTACAGTTTTCTTCTATATCAAAACACGAATATATATAAGTCAATATAATTCTATAGAGGCCTTAAGAAATTATCACTTTAAAAGGTAAAATTACAATTTGCACATGTCCTTTCTTCAGTCTAGATCTGAACCCAAGTTATAACCAATAAAACTAAATTAATTTAAAGTTCACTATTAAGAAAGTTAAATTTTTGCTTACCCATGTCAATTGCATTCCTAGTTGATGATGAAGAATTTGATCCTACAATGAACAGTTTTGCTGAGTAAAAAAAAAAAAAAAAAACTGATTACTATATTTAGGGGTATGTCTTACTATGTAGTATTAACATGACAGATAATCCTTAATAATTTTTGTTTCCTAGTCACATAATTTTATAGTTTTTAAGACATAAAAGTTTATATCCACTATAACTTTTTAATTATATACTTAGTTGTGAAARACTTATTAAAATTAAAAGCAATTATTAGAAGGCAGGTCAGACACAGGAGCTTATATTACTTAAAATATATATTTTTATGAATTAAAAATACAGCATATTACATCCAATAAACTATAATCTATAAAAAGACTAAATTAAAGCTGTTAAACTGACAAAATTGAAGGGAAAAATTCACAATTCTACCTTATCAATAGAATCCTTTTCATTTTCAGATACTACCTGCAGCTTTGGTCATATGAAGATATATTTTTTCTACTTCTGTTGGTTTACCTTTAGGTAATATTTTGAATAAATTTCTATGTATATTTAGTTATTTAAAATTTTTTTATAATAGTAATATGCTTACTCTAGAAATGAAAACAATCTATAAAACTAGAAAGACCAAAAATAGCCAAGAATCTCATTACTCAAAGCAATTACTATTTATATTTTTGTGTACTCTGTTTAATGTACAATTTTAGATACTCAATTTTTATACATGAACATTATCTATAATTCTGATAGGGTATAGTTCATTAAATGAGTTCCCGCTTATTGAACATTTAGGTGAGTTATATTCCTGCAGTAGTTCCAGCTTTTTGTTTATCACATAAAATACTAAAACAACCATCTTTGAACTCTTTGTTCAACTTTAATTTTTTAAAATATTTTTTTAAAAATATTATTTTGGTTGTGAAGGGACTCAATATCCTTATTTATTTATTTATTTATTTATTATGTGGTGCTGAAGATCAAACCCAGTGTTTCACATGTGAGAGGCAAGCGCTCTACCACTGAGCTTCAGCCCCAGCCTCTTCATTCAACTTTATACTGAATCATTTCCCAAGGATGAATTGTTAGAAATGTGATTCAGTCAAAAGATCTGATGTTTCTTGTTGAGTCTTATTCTATTTTACTTACTTTCTACTATAGAAAAGATGTGGCCCAGTTTATCAGAACACCAACACTGAAGAGTTTTTCTCCTAATAATATAGGATCCTCAACATGCAAAGTCTATGCAAATATTCCAAAATCTGAATAACTGAAATCTGAAACACTTTTGGTCTCAAGCATTTTGGATACTAGATCCCATAACTACACTCTATGAAAATCCTCTCCATCACTCTCCCTTGATTCATGAAATGGCCTCCTGTTTTTGAAAGATGAGGCATTTTTAGAGAGGTAGAAAGAAGAAAGTTCCTCATATGGCGAGGATTTTTATATCTATCAAATATTTCATGCCCTATAGGAACTGAGGACAACCTGTAAAAAATCCAAAATAAATCTACATCATGAATTATAATTAACAACACAAAGTATGATGTTTTTACTTCTATTCCTACACAAATAGCAATGTTAAATTAACACAAAGAAATGGATTTTGGAGTTGGGCATACCTGAATGAACTCCTGGTTTAACCATTTACTCTATAACAACTTTCTTTTCTTTACCTTCTTTTTTAAAAAGTAGGSTCTTGATATGTTGCCCAGGCTGGTCTCAAACTCTTGGGTTCAAATAATCTTCCTGTCTCAGCCTTCCAAGTAGCTGGGACTATAGGTACAACCCTCTATACCCAGTTGTATAATAACTTTCAAGTTATTCAATTTATTGAATATCTAGTACAATGAGAATAATAGATCTAACTTGTAAGTTTGATTTGATAATTATATAAGAAAATACAGCACTTAAGTGACAATCACAGTGCCTGGTATAAATCAAGACTCAATAAATAGTAGTCAGTATTATTAGAATCAAAAGACAATGCTCTATCTCATCATATGTGTGGATCTTAATAATAATACTTARCAATGACCACAATAACATGGTAATTAAAAACAGATATACAGCATGCATTTTGTAGCAAGCACTATGCTATGTACTTTCTTAGTTATTTCATCCAATGTATACAGAAGCCTGTATACATTGGATGCATCGTTATTTTATGGATGAGGAAACTGAAGCTCAGATTAAATACTTTGTTAGACCATGATTATACGGGACAGTAATCTACAAACCCAAGAATCTCAATCTGGGCTAGCTCAAGCTTTTTTTTTTAAATTTTTTTATTTTGAGAGAGAGAGAGAGAGAGAGAATTTTTTAATATTTATTTTTTAGTTTTCGGCGGACACAACATCTTTGTTTGTATGTGGTGTTGAGGATCGAACCTGGGCCGCACGCATGCCAGGCGAGCTCGATACAGCTTGAGCTACATCCCCAGCCCCAAGCTCAAGCTTTTAATGACTATAAGCTAAGGACAGAACAGTACATTTAAATTTCTGGGATGTATTAGTCACTAYAAATGTTGAATGGATATGTATTTTCTTGTTGCCCAGACTTCTTTCTACACTTTCTGGTGACATCAGTCATTAGTTACTATCATCCCCCAGGAAGGGAGGGTTTATGCTTTGGGTAGACACTGCTCCTAAGCCTTCCCTTTATCCTTTCCATTACTTCCACCCTAATCTTTTTTACTGTTCTGAACACAGGTAAATTACATAAGAACATCATGAAGAACAGGAAGTCAAACTTATACTCTTACTCCACTGAAGTAACCAGCACTGACTTCCTATAACTCCTTCTTAAGAGTTGACATTAAAGCTGGGAATAATCCCAGCAGCTGGGGAATAAAAAAGGGCTRGGGATGTGACTCAGTGGTTAACCGACTGGGTTCAATTCCCGGTACACCACCCCACCACCACCCCTGCCCCCCCCCCCAAAAAAAGTTGACATTAACATTATGTTTAAAAAGGAATTTTTATATTTTCCACACTTAGTGATGAAAGTGCTCTTGACCCACAGTAAAGGAGGGCTTATTCCCATACTTAACAAAAGCTTACTATCCCTTCCTTCCATTATATAACAAATTGAATTGTAAAGTTGTAAAGAACTTTACCAGAAACTTTCATTTCTTCTCTTTCATCAGGATTTATCTTTTCTACTGCATGAGATACAGTACACTCCAAGACATCTGGAAACTCCTAAAATAAACACAATATTTATAATGAATATAAAACTAGTGCTTCTGATTAATCATAAATTTTCCTATTGTTCATTAAACCCTTTAGAAGAGAACCAGTAAGACAACAGGATTTTATTGRCATTAAATTACACATAATAGTGGGATTCATTTGTTACATACTCACCTAATAAGAACTTCCCATTTCTCTCCCCTATTTCCTCTCCTTAGTCTTCTWTCTCTACTCTGCTGGTTTCCCTTCTATTATCATGAGATTTCCCCAACTTTTCCCCTCCCTTTTCTCTTCTTTTTTTTTTTTTTAAAGAGAGAGTGAGAGAGAGAGAGAGAGAGAGAGAGAGAGAATTTTTAATATTTATTTTTTAGTTCTCGGCGGACACAACATCTTTGTTGGTATGTGGTGCTGAGGATCGAACCCGGGCCGCACGCATGCCAGGCGAGCRTGCTACCGCTTGAGCCACATCCCCAGCCCCCCCTTTTCTCTTGAGTTACATGTGAGGGAAAATGTATAACCCTGCACTTTCTGAATTTGGCTTACTTCGATTAATATGATGCTCTCAAGTTCCATCCATTTTCCTTAAAGACAAAATTTCATTCTTCTTTATGGCTGACTAAAACTACTTTTTGGGGGTGGGGTATTGGATATTGAACTCAGGGGCACTCCACCATTGAGTCACATCCCCAGCCTTATTTTGTATTTTATTTAGAGACAGGGTTTCACTGAGTTGCTTAACACATTGCTTTTGCTGAGGCTGGCTTTGAACTCGAAATCCTCCTGCCTCAGTTTCCTGAGCAGCATAGATTACAGGCATGTGCCACTGCACCCAGCTTACATTTTTATATGTTCATTTTCTTTATCCATTCATCCACTGACAGTTACCTTAGGTAATTGGTTCCATAATTTGGCTACTGTGAACTGGGCTGCTATAAACATGGTTATGCTATAACAGTACAGTATAGTGACTTTAATTCTTTAGGATAAACATTGAGAAATGGAATAGCCCTCTCTAGCATTTGTTATTACTGATATTTTTGATGGCTGCTTATTCTAACTGGAGTAAGATAAAATCTCAGTGTAGTTTTGATTTGCATTTCCCTAATCGCTAAGAATGTTGAACACTTTCTTAAACTGGTTGGCCATTTGTATTTCTTCTTTTGAGAAGGGCCTGTTTATTTCATTTGCCTATTTATTGGTTGAATCTATGTGTGTCTATGTTAAGTTTTTTTGAGTTCTTTATATCTTCTGGATATTAATCCTTTGTCAGAAGARAAACTGGCAAAAATTTTCTCACCTTTTATACATTCTCTCTTCATACTCTTGGTGCCYTTCCTGTGCAGAAGAGCTTTTAAATGTGATGTCATCAATTTATTAATTCTTGTTATTATTCCTTGAGCTTTAGGAGTCCCATTGAGGAAGTCACTGCTTATACCTTTATGTTGCAATGTTGATCCTACATTTTCTTACAGCAGTTGCAAAGTTTCTGGTCTAATTCACAGGCTTTTGATCCATTTTATATGGACTTTTGTGCAGGGTTGAGAGGGATCTAGTTTCACCAATGATTTTCCCAGCACCATTTGTTAAAAAGGCTGTTTTTTCTCCAACGTATGATTTTTAGTGCCTTTCTCAAGGATCAGTACCTTTGTGGGTTTGTCTGTGTCTTCTATTCCTTTCCACTGGCTTAGGTGTCTGTGTGTCAGTACAATGCAGTTTTGTTACCAACCTTTGTAGTATAATTTGAAGTCAAGTATGGTGATGCCTCCAACATTTTTTTTTGGCTCAGAATGGCTTAAGACAATAGGATTGTTTACTTGAGGTCTACATGGGCTTCTCAAAGGTTGTAGAGCCTGGACATAAAGATAAAATGCTATGTGTATGTGTGTCTGTTTTCTAGAGAAAAGTATCTCATTTTCATTCAGTRTTCAGAAGAATGCATGACCAAAACTTCTTTTTAAAAAAATAATCAAGCAGGAGAGGAGTACTCCATGAGGAGTTAACAACCACTAGATATAMTACACAAATTTTACTTAAAAAGAAACCAATGAGCTGGGCACGGAGGAGCACGCCTGTAATCTCAGAGGCATGGAAGGCTCAGGCAGGAGGACTGCAAGTTCAAAGCCAGCTTCAGCAAAAAAGCAAGGTGCCTCTGAGCTACTTGGCAAGACCATGTTTCTAAATAAAATAAAAAAAAAAAAATCGGGTTGGGGATGTGGCTCAGTGATCAAGTGGCCCTGAGTTTAATCCCCAGTAGCTAAAAAAAAAAAAAAGAAAAAAAAGAAACAAATGAAAWATAAACTATTCTTCTGAATATTATGTTAAAAACATTAAAAACTTTGCATGTTTTTAACAAAATGTTAAAAACTTTCTACAATCACAAACTTTAAAAAAAACTTCTCTTAAAAAATTTTAATGTCATTCAAGTTAAACTTGTGAGGAATGTAGGTGATTTTTGAAAGTATTTTTTAGAGTAGTTTTAGATTCACAGCAATACTGAGCAGAAGATACAAAGATTTCTCATTTATCTCCTGCATCCACACATGTATTGCCTTCCCYATTATCAACATCCCATCAGATGGTACATTTATTACACTTGATAAGCTTATACTGACACATCAAACGGGTTCACTCCTAGTATTAAGCATTCCATGGATTTGGGCAAATGTACAACAACAATGTATCCACCATTATGAGATTACTGCCATAAAAACCCTTTGTACTAAAGAAGAAAAAAAATCTTCTGTRCTCCACTTATTCATCCCTCCCTTCCTTGTGAGCCCAGCAACCACTGATCTTCATACCATCTCCATGAGTTTTGCTTTTTCTAGAACATTAAATAGGCGAGATTACACAGTATGTGGCCTTTTCACATTTGACTTTTTTTCACTTGGTTAATTAATATGCATTTAAGATTCTTCCATGTCTTTTTGTGGCTTGACAGCAAAGAAACAATATTCTATTGTCTGGATATTACCAAACTTTACATACAACTATTGAAGGATGTTTGGTTGCTTCCAAATTTAGCAATTATGAATAAAGCTGCCATACATATATCTGTATGCAGAAATTTTCATGGACAAAAACTTTCAACTCCTTATGACAGRCACCAAAGAGAAAAACTGCTGTATCACATGACAATAGTATGTTTAATCTTGTAATTACAAACATTTTTTTAAACAATTTTTTCCTTGACTGCAATTTTTTTTWAAAAAGCATGGCCCATTCTAATGTATTAAAAGGAATAATTTGTAAGGATAATGATAAAAATGTTAGTACATATCAGTAAGAAACATTCATTTACCAAACAAGATTTAACAAAACAGTGAGGCCTTTCCCATGATTGAAAAACACATTACAAAACCTAGTACATACCAAGAGTCCAGTTACAAGCCATGCATACATATGATAAATGGTCATTTCAGAGAAGCAGAAATCAAAGACATTAATCAATGTCTGCATAGTAGCTATAGGGTTATAAATCTGCAGTATGCACAAGGGAACAAGTGTTTCCAGCACATGTCCTCTTTCACACTTTTAAAATGGTCTGGATTTAGGACGGTTACAGACAGGTACTTTTACAATAATAATCACATACTGACATTTAATGAAATATTGTTCCTTAYTGCTTCACGATAGAAATTATTTCTAGGGACTATATTATTGAAGTGGATATCAGATATTCTAAGTAATCTAACAATCAAAGCTGCCTGATAATCATTCATCTACTAGACCAATATCAATAGGAACAAAGCACTGCTGGTGAGGAAACTAGTTGGGAATTAAGCATGAGAATCCCATCATCTTGTCTAGGTTGAAGAGTTGCCTACAGAGCTCAGATTTTCTGCTTATGCTTAATTCAACTGAATCAGATTGCCATCTCAGCAACTCAGCCACAAAGGGTTTGATGGCTCATTGACTTTTTGACTTCTCTCCCCAAACTTAGGAAGTTAACTTCCTGCTTACTTCACTTCCCTTTTGATCTGCAGGATTTCTGCAGTCACTTTCCACTTACCCTGACCAAATCTGGGCTGATTTGGGAACTCCACTCATTCAAGGTCTTTTGGATACAATCTCGAAGCTGCAAAAGGAATGCATTTTTAAACTGTTAATCAATCTCTATTCACTCCCCTTACATCTATAAACAAGAATGCCATAGTTTGGTAAATTAAGCAGGGGAAAAGCAAAAAACATCAATAGGATTTATCATACAAACCCTTAATTCTACAGGTTTTTGTTTCCTTCAACAGATAAATTCAGACCTGTTTTTATTCTACTCTTAATTCTCAAACATTCTTAACCCAAAGCATTAGTCTAATTATTTTTACACTGTTTATGTACTAAGAAAACTTTAAACTTACACACATTCATAAAGAAACAAAAAATGATTTCAGAATAAGGTTATAAACAGAGGAACTTGGATTTAAGCCAGACACACTAAAATTCTTATTAACCATTATGCTACATTCCTTGAAGACAAGCAACAAAATAAGTGTAGCCAGAGGAACACCTACATCAGAATCCCTGTGGTGTTTATTAAAGACTCAAACTCTCGCTCAATCCTAGACCTGATGAACACTCTCCAAGTGCAGCCAGGATTTCCATTTTAACAGGCATCCCAAGTAATTACTATGTACCCTGAAGTCTGRGAATCAGAGGACCTTACAGAAGTCAACGTGCATAATGATAGTCCATGAGTCATTTCCTAACACCTCAGTACACATCTAACTTGTTTTCAATGTTTTCTTGGATAAACATTATTTATCCAATATGCTATCCACAAGAGCATGTTGTAAATTCATTAAGGAGTTTATTCCATTTATATCTCTTATGTCAATGTGTTTCAAACTTACTTGACAGTAGCCCAAAGTAAGGTGTATATTCACTTAGTGAGTGAAAGAAGACTTAGCTTCATATGAAGGAACAAAAAATTCACAARACAATATTTATGGTCACTACATGCCAGTACTCTAGCGGCTTTTAGTCTTTTAATCAGAAAAAAATATGTTCTATGACTCACTAAACTAATTTGTGACCACTAATTGGTCAACACCAGCAGTTTGAAATCACCATCTTAAAAGATAACAAAGGTTACAGTACTTTACCTTCTTTAGGCAATCAACAGAAAAAGAAATGAGCAATGAGAGCAAGCCCCTGAACTGCAAAAGCACTTTCTGAACAGGGACAATAGAGAGTAAACTTCTAAACAATAATTGCTTATGATGAAAACTGACACAAGCACTTTACCACTTCTTAATATTAATAATCACAAGGGAAAACTGGTTTTAATTTAAGGGTACACAACCACTTATGTTAGGATTTACAATCCACAACAATCATTTATATGCTATCTATAATAACTTACTTAAATTTAAGTTACCAGGTCTATGTCTTTATGCAAAATTTATTTCTAACAAAATTGAGATCAGTAGATAAAAATTAGTTGATAATCTTTCCAGATAAATCAGTAACTGTTGAGGAAGCAGGACTGATAAAGTCAACAATTTTATCAGGACTGCTTTGGTTCAAATTGTGGGAGAAGTCTAAGAAATGTTTCTTTGGAAGAATGATTCATTTACATACAAGACTTTCCTGATTAATTCTTCAATTCAGAAAGATAAGTATATTTTCAGAGTATTTACCCCTTTTCTGAAACCATCTCTTTAATTAATCTTGGTTTCTGCAAAATTCAGGATAAATTGTAGCAAAGTCTAAAGTTATATAAGAAATTCATTGACTATATCACAAACTGAATGATTTCTAATCTTGTAAGTTACATGCTATCTATAGTGACTGAATATTAACCTTATACCTTTTTGTTTCCTGCTTTCTTCATCATCACATATACAGTATCACTAAAGATAAATATCATCACAATGTAGTCTATATTAGATCTGGAATGGCTTAAGAATTTTAAAAATACCMCAATTAAACTGATCAAATACTCAACAACAAAAAAAGACAACACAATCTTATAAARACTTATTTAAAAACAATATTTGAACCTAGTTTCAATACTCAGCACTGTCATAAATAAATAATTCGTAAATATTTGATTTCATAAAACACTAGTGAAACACAAAAATATGTGAAAAGATCAAAGAATCAAAAAAGCATTAGAACTAGAAAAGATCTTTTAAGAACTGAACACTCAACCAGCCTGGTGGTGCATGCCTGTAATCCCAGAGGCTAGGGAGACTAAGACAGGAGGATCAAAGCCAATCTCAGCAAAAGTGAGGCACTAAGCAACTCAGTGAGACCCTGTCTCTAAATAAAATACAACAAAAACAAAAATAGGGATGGGGATGTGGCTCAGTGGTTGAATGCTCCTGAGTTCAATCCCTGGTATCCCCACCCCCACCCCACCCCACCCCAGCAAAAGAACTGAACACTACCAGATGTATAAATTTTCAATAATGATTTTTTTTTCACTTTCTTTAATCTCTTCAATGAGGTTGAGATGTTTCAAGTGGTACAWCCCAATTTGGAGCTCTCTATGTAAAATTCTTTACATAGAAATAAAACATGCCTATCCTATTCTAATTAAACTGTTATAGTTTCCCTACAATATGCTGCTATTTCTTCAAGTTTTCCTCAAATATCCTAGGGTCTTTAGTTTTGTCCTACTCTGACAMGGCATCCTAAACAAAAAACTACAGACCAGAATTAATCTTCTGAACAATGTTTTTCAGAAAACTTCGTGGATGAGCGCACACTGTCCCAGTGTAGTTCAGTGGTGGAGCCCTTGCATAGCATGTGTGAGACCCTGAGTTCCATTCCCAGCATCGTGTTAAAAAAAATAAATAAATAAAAACAGGATAGAAAAAAATTGAGATGGCTCAGTATACAAAGGTTAACATCTTTTTGTGAGATCTCTCTTTCAGATATATTGATACACACATATAAATATAAAATTATGAATGCATGAGTAAAATACATTTCTTACTATTTGGAGTAAACAACTTTGAAAGCCACTACTGTGTTACAATGAGAGAAGAGAGAAAATCTCACCCAATATTGTCAAAATACATGCAGAACTTTCAACTACATTGGTCATCAGTGCTAAAAGAAATTAAGGCTTTATGTACCAAATATAGAAATACTTATCTTTCAGAGAAAGAGTCAAAGTGGGTGGTTTAAACAAAGCTGGAACCCAAACACAGAATAGGGAAGGAATTCTGGTGCATATTAAAGTGACAACCAAGAGTTCTCACCTCCTGAAGGGTGCTGGTTCCCCACACACACCAACTGCTACTTCCCCTATGGTCTGTGGACAACAGCTCTCATATAAACAGCTAAAACTGACTCTGAACAGCTGATAACGTCATAACCTGACAGTTTAGGCAACCGGTTCTTTTAATCAAGATTCTCTTTCCGATGGAACCAGGTTATTTGGAGCATTTTCATATATAATCTCTAATTCTCACAACAACCTCATGAGGAAGGTAGCACCCAACTTCCAAACTACTTTCTAAAAGTCACACAGCTCCTAAAGTAATTGTTCATTATTTTTACGTTTAACCAACACATCATAATCGCACATATCCACTGGGAATTTTTCAAGTACTAAAATTATTCCGTGCCTCCAATTACCTGTGCAGTGAATGGATGACTACTCACTGGCTCAGGAACAGTCAGCAACAAAGGGGTARCAAGTGCATACTTCCAGATTAACATCTGCCACCTCCAACTAACTGGTGATCAGTCTTCGGGAAAATAAAAGGCGGCCGATAAACTTCCAGTAAGAAAAAAAGACATATCTACCCCCTAACCAAATTTGAGGGTTTCGTCATTTGCTTCACAGCAATAAT